ACTGTTTTTTAAAGATTTATTTTTGGTGCTTTTGCCTTTATTATGACAGGACAGTGTAGAGATGACAGGAAGCACAGTGAGAGAGAGAGGGGGGGGGGGATCGGGAAAGGTCTGCGAGCTGGGACTCGAACTCACGACACCCAAAGCGCAACGGCGCTGTATGTCGACACGCTACCCACAAGGTTATCGGTGCCGACACCTCTTGGCTACTTTGACGTATTTCCTGTATTTCCAAAACATGATGCATGATGGGATAAAATAAGCCCCGAATAGCGCTCCTGAATAGTATTCGAGATAGTGTGGATTTAGTGTGCGTTCAGGGCACTGTGCTTTGGTGTTTTTAAGACCTGGGACAGTCTTGCGCACTTACTTCCTGTCATGTGCATGCGCTGTCAAGTGGCCAAGACCGCAAGTGTGGGTATTTGGACAAGGCATCTGCAGGAAAGTGGATCTTGTGGAGCAGATTTGAGGATCCCTGCTCTAAACTATACTTTTTAATAGTTTTTAGAGACAGGGTAATTAACATCCATTTCTTATGTGATCCCCATTTTCAACTTACCACAGTTGTCATGCACAAAATACAGAAAACATTAACCATCCATCTCCTCATTGCACTGTCATTCTCCATTATAGACTTGCTAGATGTCATCTGTCCCATCAGTGCTGTGAAAGTTTGTCTTCAGCTCTTCAGTCATCAAACTCTCTTAAAGAGTTGGACCTGAGTAACAATGCCCTGCAGGATTCAGGGGTGAATCTGCTTTCTGCTGGACTGAAGAGTTCACACTGTCAACTGAACATACTAAGGTTTGACTTTCACAATTACATATTTATGTATGTGACACACCAAGCAAAGTCCATTGCCATCAACACTGATTATATAATGTGAGGAATGTTGTTCCTACAATACGCTATATTCTAAAAAAATGAATAAATACATATACAGTGCCTATAGAAAATCATCATACCGTGTGAAAACCTTTTCCTTTTGTCACATTACAATAAAATATAATAAATAAAATAAATTGAGTCTAACTTTTTTGAGCTGCATGTACACATTATAACCCTCGTAATTAAAGTAAAAATATAATTTAAAAAACTTCTGGAGGATTATTAAAAATTAATCAGTGAAACGCCTGGTTTGGTAAAGTGATCAGCCCCTTAGAGTATACCATTATAAACTTGCTCAGGTGAAAGCAATCAACTTCCAGATTAAACACCAGGCTAATTTCCCCACCTGACATCAATAGTAGTGGTGTTTATTACTTGAGAATAAAACGAGTGAAACGTTTCTTGAAGATTCCACTGTTAGTAGTGTATGGTATGGCAAAGAATTAACCATGGTTGGGAAAGTGCTTTCAAAAGACCTCTGGGATAAAGTTGTAGAAAGGCACAAGTTAGGAGAAGGCTACAAAAACATTTCAAAGGCTTTAGCTATCCCTCAGAGTACTGTTCAGAGCATCATTAAGAAGTGGAAAGCATATGTCACCACCAGCACATGTGGATGACAGAGCTAGGAGGACATTGATAAGAGAAGCTACCACGAGGCCAAAGGCAGCTTTGAAGGACTTACAAGGCTTTATGGCTGTCTGGTCATTCGGTGCATGTGACAACTATCTCCCAAGCTTTACACAAATCTGGCCTGTATGGCAGGGTGGCATGAAAGAAGCCTTTCCTAAAAAAGTGTCACACGCAGTCTCATTTGCGCTATGCAAAAACACATTTGGAAGAGTCTGATACCTTCTGGCAAAAGGTGCTATGGTCTGATGAGACCAAAATTTACCTTTTTGGACTGAACTCCAAGCGCTATGTTTGGCGAAAAGCAAACACAGCACACCACTGAAAACACACCATACCTACTATGAAGTATTGCAAGTGTTTCTCTTCAGCTGGGACTGGGCGATTGTTCAGGATTGAAGGGAAAATGGATGCTGCCAAGTACATCCAAATTCTTGAGGAATACCTGTGTCCCTCTGCTAGACAGCTGAAGACGGGCAGGTCATTCACCTTCCAACACTACAATGACCCTAAACATACTGCCAAAACAACAACGAAATGGCTTAAGGATAAGAAGGTGAATGTCCTTGAGTGGCCAAGTCAGAACCCTGACTTAAATCCAATCGAAACTCTGTGGATGGATTTGAAGAGAGCTGTCCATTGCCGCTAACCACAGAATTTGACTGAACTTGAGCAATTCTGCAAGGAAGAATGGGCAAATATTCCCCAATCAAGGTATGCAAAGCTAGTACAGACATATCCAAAAAGACTGACGGCTGTAATTAAAGCAAAAGGTGGCTCTACGAAGTATTAAATCAAGGGAATGATGACTTTTCCAACCCTGTTATTGTTTTTTTTTTTTGTTTGTTTTTTATTAATTTGCTGAACGTATTTGGTTACTAACGTAACCTCGGTTCCCTGAGATTCTGGAACGAGTACTGCGTCTGCTAAGATGCTATGGGGAAAAACTCATTTTTCTCAGATGACTGAAGCCTTTTCAATAACGCAGTGTAACTGCACGGCCGTTGGTTCGTGCAGTGAATTAAAAACGAACCATAAAAATGAACGATAGCACGGCTAGTTACGCAGTATTCGTTCCCGTATCTCAGGGAACCGAGGTTACATTAGTAACCAAGTACGTTCCCTATCGATACTTCACTCGTACTGCGTCTGCTAAAACGCTATGGGGAACCAGTACAATTCCGCCGTGCTATGCTAGAGGAACAACTCATGCTTGAACTTGCCTTAAGCACCATAAGGGGCCCAGAGGGACTAAGTAATTAGCAGGGAAGACCCGCAGGAGACAATAGGGCCAAGCACGCAGAGGTCGGTCCGGCCTCAAGAATCGTTCCAAGAAAACTCCATACAGCCTCGGCACTCAGTGAGGGCCAAGAGCATACAAGAAGGAGGGCAAAGCCTAAGCACTGGTTTGGCAAGAATGAGCCCATTATGCAGAAAGGACCCGGGCCTGTAAGGCCGGAACGTCCAGATTATAGAACCTGGCAAATGTGGACGGCGAGGCCCAGCCGGCCACCGCACAGATCTCTGCAATGAACACACCACTAGACCACTCCCAAGACGAGGCTATGCCTCTAGTCGGGTGGGCTCTTACTCCCATGGGGCAGTGTAGGCCCAAGGAGAAGTATGCTAGTGCAATAGCGTCAACTATCTTGTGTTCGGAAGCCCTTTGGTGCGGCCACCGAAGCATATAAAGAGTTGTTCAGACTGCCTAAATGGGGCAGAACGCTAAATATAAGTCTTTAATTCCCTGACGGGGCAGAGTAACTTCAACTTCTGGTCATCCTCCAAGGGAGGAAGCGCCGATAGAGTTATAACCTGTGCCCTGAATGGAGTGGAGAGCACTTTAGGTGCCTTGGCTTCAGGATGACCTTAGAGTCATTGGGCCCGAACTCAAGGCAGGTGGGGCTCACAGAGAGCGCCTGCAGATCACCCATACGCTTTACTGATGCCAACGTTAGTAGCAGAGCAGTTTTTAGCATCAGGGAACGAAGGTCAATAGATTGTAGCGGCTCAAAGGGAGGGCTCTTTAGGGGAGAAGTCCGACCACTTAGAAGTGTAGAGGCGTCTCGTAGATGGAGCTCTAACTTGAGAGATTGTATTTAGTATGCTCTCTGGGAGGTACGCAGGCTCCCATCGAGAGGACAAAAGTGCAGAGCCCACAGCTCGGGCTGGGGGTGCCATATCGTTCTGTTCGCCTGAGAGAGGAGGTCCCGCCTCAGGGGAATGGGCCATGGAGCTGCTACCAGCAGCTGGGACAGCTCTGCGAACCAGTGATGGTTCCTCCAGTTCTACTAAAAGAACCTTGTGCTCTTGTTCCCTGATTACCTGTGGGATCAGGGCGATTGGGGGAAAAGCATAAAAGAGGAAGTTAGGCCAGTCGTGGACCAACGTGTCCGTGTCCTTCGAGAAATAAGTTGGGCAATGAGAGTTGTTTTTTGAGGCGAAGAGGTCAACCTCTGCCTTGCCAAAGATCTCCCAGATTTTCTAAACCGTTAGCGGGTGGAGCATCCACTCGTCTGAAGGGACCTTGCTCCGAGATAGCATATCTGCTCCTTGGTTCAACTTTCCCAGCACATGCGCCGCACTCAGCGAACACACGTTGGTCTGAGTCCATTCCAAGAGGTACTCTACTAGAATAAAGAGGAGCTTCGAGGAGAGTTCTCCCTGGCGATTTATGTAGGACACTACCATCATGCTGTCCGATCTGACCAGGACGTGGTGTCCCCTCAGGTCTGGCAGGAAGGTGCGAAGGCCCAAACATACCGCCAGCATTTCTGGAGGCGACCACTCTAGTCCCAGCTCCTCCACAGCCTTAGACAGGACACGGAATAGTTCGGCGTCCATGCCTGGCTTGGGATCGCTGGGCTCCGCAGACGGCGGGTGGTCGGGGTCGTTGGTCGAGCCTGACAGATCCTCCATGTCTGAAGCCACCAACGACATGCTGTCGTCCAGCGCGTCACACTCACTCCCACCAAACGAGATCAGGTCGCTCGCAGCTGCAGAGGAACACTGGTCTGGCTGGGAGAATAAGAACGGGACAAGCCTCTCTATGAGGAGAGAACGAGGCACGGGGGGTCGAGGCCAGTGTGGGCTTGCTCGTCTCCGGGCGCCGAGGTCCTCTGCCCCGCTGTTTTTTCCTCGCAGGTTCCTGGGAGGAAGAAAACGAGAGGACGCGAGGGACGGGGTCAATTTCTGAAAAGAAAGCCAACCGCGAGCGCAGAGAGTAGAGATTCATATCCTTGCTCTTTTAAAAGCTCTTTTAGTAATTCGCCGGATGGTGGCAGGGGATCTAGGAGACCGGCGCTGCTGCGGGCGCTGAAGGCGAGATCAGCCGAGCAGAGAGAGGTCTTGAAGCTTCGCCGTGGAAATGCCACACAGCGGATCAACTCTCGTAGTATCAGTGAAGATCGTCATCGTCGCTGAAGGAGAAGAAATCTGAGGATCTTATGGTGATATGCCCACTTATATAGCCAGATTGCCCTGCCCGCTCTGGCGGGCTTTGTCGCCATAGGCTTGGTAAGACCAAAAGTGTAAATAAAGCTGGAAAAGTTATTTCGAATGGGGTTTGATTTCAGGCTGTATGACAAAGTAAATATTTCAAAGGGGAATGATGATTTTCTATAGGCACTGTATAGCAGCTGTGGTAACAATCTATTCCTGTTGAGTTTTTTTTTTTTTATGTGACCAAACTGACTAATTAAAATCTGGTCGATTTAGCCTCTTCTTGTCAACTAACAATTAGTCAACTATTTAGCTTGCATACATCAATGTTGTTTTGGGTGAACTTTTTATATTGATGGGACTAAATTGCAATGAAGTATACAGCATGTATATGCATGTATATACAGTATACAGCATGACATTGTGTTTTTGCAGAAATATTACAAATTGTTCATATTAAATATTCTTGAAAATAATGTGGTATAAAGAGAGGGAACATTGAAAATAAAACATTATGAAATATGAGATTAAACTATGTTAAAAAAAAATAAAAAATGTATCTTAAGTTAAACTCTCCAATAATGAGTCCCTTTTGACCCTGGAGATAATTGAGTTCTAACACAGATCCTACAGTAATGCATGAGTTTGATGAAAGTTAATCAAGAAATAGTGGTGAAAAGTAATGTGAGAGGAGACACTCTGGGGTGCATTTCCCGAAAGCAACTATGGTCACAATTTCCGTCATTACCAATAGTGTTCAATGGAACTTACCACGATAGTTAGCTAATGATGCTTTTGGGAAACACACCCCTGATTGGGTGAATGATCTGCAAATCAGCATAAATTATGCATCTGGAGGTAATGGAAGGACTATTTACAAATAAACAAATCACCAGTGGTGGACCCAGTACACAAACCAAATACTTGGGTTAAATATAACAATGATTTAAAATGTAGTGACAAAAGTTTCTCAAAATAAAAAATCTGGCAGAGTACAGATACTTGGAAAAATTTACTTAAGTACAGTAACAAAGTGAAAATACTTTATTGCTGTCCACCACTGCAACTCAGTTGCAACTTAAAGGGGTCATATGATGCTTTTTTAAAGATCATTATTTTGTGTATTTGGTGTAGAGTCTTAACTTTGATAAAGAATATCTCTTTGGTTTTGAGACTTTAGTCTTTGCAACTTCAGGGATCTTATCTATGCACAATCAGCTTGTAACACTCCAAAGAGAAAGGAAAACTTGAAATCGCATCATATGACCCCTTTAAACCAATCGTGATGTAATTCATCTGTTTTGATGTTGCTCTATTTTTCTGTTCAGACTGGTCTTCTGTAATCTCACTGGTCAGTGCTGTGAAAGTTTGTCTTCGGCTTTACAATCATCAAACTCCCAGCTTAGAGAGTTGGACCTGAGCAGCAATGACCTACAGGATTCAGGAGTCAAGCTGCTTTCTGTTGGATTTAAGAGTCCAAACTGTCAACTGAACATACTGAGGTATTTGAGAACACAGATAAATAATTACTCTAATCAAACTAAACATGTCACTTCAGTTCTGCTCTTGACTTCCTGGGTGCTTGTAATGCCTCAGCAGAACCCAGTTGCTGTATTTGGTCTGGTGTTTAATTGGAATTTTTATTTTTTGGGCTAATACTGATTCTTGCCCAATGGTCAATGATGCTAATGCCAGTGTTTTTAGCACTAAGCACTAATGCATGAGTAATCAATATTCACTTTGGACTCTTGTCAAGTTATTTTTATGTTCTGATCTCTGCCTCAGTCAGTTAATGCCTCTCGAAGACTACCAGCAAAGGAAGTGCTTTCGTTTTCTTTTCTGATGTCAGTGGAATATATAAAACTAAATATAAGAAAATACAAGAATGGCAGTGTATGAAATTATCCCCAGCAACAGCATGACTAATTCACAAACTATAGTAAGAAAGAAAAAAAAAATACAAAACATAGTAAAGATAATCAACAAGTTCAAATAAATTGTAATTATTTAATGTGTTAATTTCAAAAACAAACTAGCAATGCCTTCAAACTTCCTGTGACCAAGGAACAACATCAGTTATGGTACCATGCTTCTTCCCTGAAATATAGTTTAACTAAATATAGTTGAAGGGATAGTTCACCCGAAAATGAAAAATTGGGTAACACTTTATAACAGCGTTCATTTATAAGTGATTAGTTAATGATTAACTAATCTTTTACAAAACATGACTGTTTTCATAAATGATAATATTTTGTTAATATGATAATGATAATAATATGTTAATATTTTTATCTGTTTTGTAGATTAAGTTATAAACCATTTACAAGTGATTAGATAATGATGAACTAATAATTTACAAAACATGACTATACGTTCACAAATGATTAAGTAATATGCTAATCTTATCTAGATTATCTTAAAAAAAGCATATTATGAAATTATCAAACAGATCCTTAGTAAATGGTTTATAAGTTACTAGTAAATATATTAGTAATCACTTATTATTCATTGAAATGTCAACATTGTACTATTGTCTCAAACATTTGTTAATCATGAACAAATTATGATCAAACCATTAGTAAATGATCGGTATATAATTTTTGTATGTTTCGTTAAAGTTGTAAGATGGTCTGTTAAGAAGCCAAAAATGCAATTATGCTAAAACTTTTTTTTAAAGAATAATAAATTATTTGCTGTCAAGTGAATAAACGTGTAAATTACTTACAGTCAGGGGATTCCAGTGGGTTATGTTAAACCCTTTCTCTCATCAGCACAGACTTGTGTTCTGTGTGGAGTGTGTGGGATCTAGTGACAATGTGAACCGGTTTTACCCTCCACTGAAGACCACATCAGGTGCACAGCGTTAAAATACTCCTTGTGTGTCAGAGAAGACATCTGTCTACACCCTCACCAGTGAGCCTTTACATTGGAGTACACACTACAAAGTATTCAAAACCTGTTGTGTAAATGTATGAATAAATCATTTACAAAGCTTTCTGCATCTGCTAATCTAAAGTGTAAACTACTCATCACTTGTAAATGTGGAGGGTAAAACCAGTTCACATTGTCACTAGATCCCTAGGTCGTCTGAAGTCAAGTCAAGTCAAGTTTATTTGTACGGCGCTTTTCACGATAAAAATCATTGCAAAGCAACTTTACAGCAAATTAAGTTTCTACAATATTTAGTGGTAGCTTATCAGTGGTGACTGTCAGTTAATGTACATATGGCAGAAATGTACGGAAAAATCAATTAAAGACGTAATCAAACAGACGATGAACACTATTAACAGCAATTATTATATGATGCAATCAAACTTATAGCAAAATGTGGATTTGCGAATTTCCCAAATCTGAAGATGGCCCTCGAGTGGATTTCACCGCCTTTGTAGAGTGGATACTGACGACAAACGGATCCCCGTTCACCGACTGTCCCAAGGAGGATCTCGCCAGTTCCACTCCGGACCCAGAGCCCAGCCCACCATCACCCTTGGTCCTCTGTCGCTCCGGCTCCACCGCGGCCTTCCAGATCCCCGCCTCCACATCGGTCGCCTGAGCATTCGTGAGTGCTCCTGTGGATTATTAAAGACTGTGGATTGCTATTCTCCTGCGTTCTCCTCATTCCTCGTTTCCTCTCATTAGGCGATCCTGACAAGCCTCAGGCAACATTCTTTTCTTTTACAATGAACTGGTTCAGTTCACTAGCTTTGTTTAGATGTAATGTATACGCAATTATATGTGACTTGTGCTGGCAAAATTAGTTGGAATGTGCGCAGGCTAATTTTGAGCTACAGGCAAAAAGAATTGGAAGAAAAGATGCAACGTTACTAGGTGATTTCGCTTTGGAACCTTCAGAAAACTATAACTCGATTTTTCTCTAAATTGACTTTGCTGACTCTATAGACTTGGAACAGATGTAGCTCAGTCATTTTTTGTCAGATTCCAAGAACTCATATATCATTTTGAATGTCTTTTAATTGAGAATGTAAATAAAAAAATAAAACAGATTTTTGAAAATGTGCTCATTGTGACTCATTTTGCCAGCACAGGTCACATAATATTACTGCACCCAATAATGGTGTAAAACATGTATTGCTTGTCTAAAATACTTAAAGTGAATAAACATGTCTTCATCAGCGCACCTTTTTAAATAAACAATGAGAAACCATAAAAACTTAAATTTCACCCCTTTATTCAAGTGCTCAGTTCACACATGCACATATCACCAGCTCATCGGTCTTCTGTGTTTCCTCAGTTCAGATACTGTTGGAGGAACTGAAGCACTGAAAGGGTTTGCAAAAACCAGCAACATAGGATCACATACGCTGGTATGTTGACTCATTTTGAGTCAGAGTGACCATCAGGCACATCCAAAAGTGAGTTTTGTTTGAGTAACTTGTAGATCTGTGCTGCTTGAGCCGCGAACCATTTCAGACAGTTCAGTCCATCAATGAAAAGAACCAGTTCAAAAGAATGCTTCATTCATGAACCAGATATCACTCTGGACCATTTGACTGAGGCTATGGAATACAGGTAATATTGTTGTAAATAATGTCCAGTTTCTTGCACAGACATTTTTTTTTTACTTCATGAGACCTCAATATATATGGTCAGGAGTCATTTTGTGTTCTTTAATATGCTTTTTTCTCAAAATTGGGCAGCTGATTTTTTTAACTGATTTACTGTTCTTTAATGTTCTACACAAGAGAAAAAGTCACTTACATTTTGAATTGCCTTTTGTATTAAATTTAATTTTGAATTAAATTTACAGCAAATTTCCATTATTGGGTAAATCATCCCTTTAACACAGAACAATAATTTATTGTTAATGCCATCATGACTTAATGTACATGTTTCATTCATGTATTAAACTTCATTATACATTTAAAATCTCACTAATGGTTAAAGTATGGAATTGTCTATGGAAAATATGCAGCATGCAATGAAGTTAAATAATTAAGCAAAGAACTCAAGATGAAAATGGTAGAGGAAAAACATGCATTTGAGCAAAGGAGCTGTGTGAACTGCATAGGTCAGTGTGTGAAAGTGATGTCTGATTGCCAAACTAATGTGATGTGGAATGTTGCTGTGTGTTTTTAGGTTATCTGGCTGTATGGTTACAGAGAAAGGCTGTGGTTATGTGTCTTCAGCTCTGCGTTCAAACCCCTCACACCTGAGAGAGCTGGATCTGAGCTACAATAACCCAGGAGAATCAGGAGTCAAGCTGCTCTCTGAAAAACTGGAGGATCCAAAATACAGACTGGACAAACTCAAGTATGTTGAGCAGGAAGAGTCACACTGATGTGTGTGTATGTATACACAGGTTTAACTTACATTGCAAGGTTCAAATGTCCCCACTAGGATTGGAAAACCTTAAAACTAGCTACAGCGTGGAAACTAGCCATCAGTCTCCCCTAGGAAAACTAAACTAATAAACATACTAAATAATGGTTTAATTAATATCACAAGGTTCTGTCATTCAGAAACATGGCTTTTCATATCACTGCTGTGCTGATGACACTCAACTCTACCTCTCATTCCATCCTGATGATCCGACGATAGCTGCTCACATCTCAGCTTGTCTAACAAACACCAGTAGCTGCTCACATAAAATTCAAGGCATTAATGTTTGCCTACAAAACCACCACTGGCTCTGCACCCCTTTACCTAAATTCATTACTTCAGACTTATGTGCCCTCTAGAAGCTTGCGTTCTGCAAGTGAACCATCCCAAAGAGGCACAAAATCACTTTCAAGGACTTTTTCATTAACTGTTCCCTCCTGGTGGAATGACCTGCCCAACTCAATCCGAGCCGCTGAGTCCTTAGCCATCTTCAAGAAACGACTAAAAACACATCTGTTCCATCTTTATATTCTAATTCTATTCTTTAAAAAAAAAAACCTTGCCACTTTTAGACATGCACTCTATTCATCACTGCGTTAGGCTAACTGAGACTTGTCATAGCACTTTCATATCATTGCTCTTTTGTTGATTTTTATTGCTTCCATTGTCCTCATTTTTAAGTCGCTTTGGATAAAAGTGTCTGCTAAATGACTGTGTAAATGTAATATGTAGAAATGCAAAAAGTCTATGGGAAACACAATATACCAAAACAAATGTTTCTGATTGTTTCAAATGTGCAACACTGTATGTGTTTTGCAGTGTGGATCATGGAGAAGAGTTCAGGATTAAAGCAGGACTACACAAATGTATGTACACACACACACACACACACATTTGGTGATGTGTGTTGTTATAAGTGTTGTCTCTTCTTGTGTTCAGATTTCTGTGATCTCACACTGAATCCAATCACAGCCAACAAAAACCTTGTTCTGTCTGAAGATAACAGAAAGGTGACATATGTGGAAGAGCATCAGGCATATCCTGATCATCCAGAGAGATTTGAAAGGCATCCTCAAGTTCTGAGTAGAGAGAGTCTGTCTGGACGCTGTTACTGGGAGGCTGAATGGAGTGGACATGCTGA